CTTATATTACCACACTTGCGAGTTATGAATAGGAGGATCAAGAATTCAGGGCTGTCCTCAGTTATTTGATGAGTTCGAGACAAGCTGGCCTGCATGAGACCTAGTCTCAAAAAAGAAAAGAATATTAAAGCATAGAATAATTTTTATGTGAAGTGATTTTAAATAATATAAACAATAACAGAATTGCATGCATTATGACATGATTTGAATAGATTTTGACCTCTGACTGACATCTTCCAAGAAAGAAAAGATAGACATAGACTTTTTCTTTCACATAAAAACATAGCTTTCTATTATATTAGTCTGGGTGTTTCTGTACAATCTTTTATGTTCTCATCACAATTTGTCTTGCCTACAAGATGTGTAGAGGTAAAAGATGGAGCAGAATTTGACGGAAAGGACGACCAATAAAGGGCCCAGTTCAAGACCCATGCCATGAGAAGGAGCCCACCCCTGACACTATTAATGATAATCTGCTATACTTGTAGATGGGAGTCTGGCATAAATGTCATCAGAGAGGCTTCATACAACTGATGGAAACTGATACAGAACCCAGTAGCCAAACATTAAGTGGAGCTTGAGTAATCCTGGGGTAGTGTGGGAGGAAGAATTGAAGGAGCCAGAGGGGCCAAGGACACCAGAAGAAAATCTACAGAATCAACTAACCAGGGCCCATAGGGCCTCATAGAGACTGAAGTGCCAGCCAGAGAATATGAATGGGACAGAGTAAGGCCCTCCACACATATGTAACACTTGTGCAGCTAAATCTTCATGTGGGACTCCTAACAGTGGGAGCAGGGGGCTGTGTCTGGCTACATTGCCTGCCTTTGGATTCTCTTTTCCTAACTAGGCTGCCTTGTCTAGCATCAATCAAAGAAGATGTATCTAATCTTGCTGCAACTTGATATGCCTGGCTGTTTGAGGAGAGGGGTGAAGGAAGGGGGGGAGCAGAGAGAAAGAGACTTGGAGGAGAAGAGGGAGAGGAAGTTGCATTCAAAATATAAAGTAAATAAATAACTTAATAAAAAAAGAAAAAAGTTGATTTTTAAAATTTTTTCCAAGAAGCCCTACCTGGCTATCTTAGGCAAATGGGCTTTTTTATAATGGGCTTAGGTAAATACACTTTTTACACATCTCTTTTCAAATCATTAAATGGATTCTTGCTAGATATTATAACAGCTGTCTATCTTCTTATTAGACAACTGAATTCATGTAATAAACCTTTTTATAAATATAAGCATTTTCTATAAGAGAATTCAAAGTAATTCAGATTCAAAGCAAAATCCCCTTCATTCTACTAGTCCATTTTCTTATTCTTTTTACAAGTTTACATATGGATACAATGTGTTGTAGTTATTTCCATCCTCTATTATCTCCTATTATTATTTTATATTTCTTTAATTTTTGAGACTACAATATAATTATAACATTTCTCCCTTTTCTTTTCTCCCTTTAAAACCTTACAACTACCCCTCCTTACCCTTTTTCAAATTCATGACCTTTTTTTCATTAATTTTTATTACATGAATATATATACATATGTATTCCTAAATATAACCTATTCAGTCTGCATGTTAGTTATGTGTAAATTTTCAGGTACCCTCCCCCTATTGATATGTTCCTTCTCAACTAGCTTTCTACTAAGATTCATGTATTTTGTGCATGTGAGCAAAAAAATACTCAAGAAGTTTTAGAACATGCTATTCTTACAGTGTGTGGCTATGAAACACAGATATTAAGCATCCTTTGTCACAGATGAAATTTTTAGGTACAATCCCTACTAATGAATGATAAATCCATGATTTAGACATTCATCTCTATTAAATTAATGTGAATATAATTAACAAGTTATAGACCCATCTTTTCAAATAAAAAGTACTCTGCCCAACAGTTGAGTAAAATGCAAATGCACTGCTATATCTATCTTTGTGTTCCACATAAAAGTCAACTCCTTATACAATAGTGTGTATCAGAATCATTGGTAATTGTCATTGACCCAGAAATGTGGTATTAATATAGAAGTTTTGGGATTTAAGTTCAGTCTTGACATTTTGTAGATTTTTTTACCTTGGGTAAAATTTTCCTTCGAGCTTACTTGAATCTGCCTAGCGCTATTGGTAAAATATCAGCCCTGGTTCTGAGAAAATGGGAAAACATTACCTTTAGTAAAAGTGAACAGAGCCCCAGGATATAATAACTATCCAAATGAGAAAAAAAGGAATAATGGGTTCCCTCTGCTGTTTGTCACAGTCTTTCGAGTGGAACAGGTGTGCTGGCCTCTGATCAAAATGTCCTTTAGCCTGTAGCACAAAGCAAACGTTTAGAGTTCTCCTCACTCATTATTACATTTGTCATAATTTAGATAATTTCATGAATATTCAGGAACATATCTGTTTTGTCTTTGGGTAAAGTTATGACCACAGTGAAAAGGAATAGAGAAGTGTTCTTCAACAAAGCAGGAAAAATATAAATAATTCAAGTATGTGCTAACTATCAGCCATAAACACATAGAAGGGATAAGAAAGGACCTTTCATTCCTAGAAATGTATGTTTGTTGGATTGCAATAGTTCTGGTTTGAGACTGTGTCATGATGGGAAGCAATTTAAATTAATTAACTTTAAAAAGAATCCATTTCTCTCCCAAATTAAGTTCTAAATGTAAAAGCAACTCTCTATAGAGTTACTTGGGTTCCAAAGACTGAAAAGAAAATAAATTTTGTTTTCTGGGTTGCTATCCCCTGGTTTTCTATACATATAGATGAGTTGTTTTGTAATTGCACAAGGTCAATGATTTCAGATGAATAGGTAAGTATCACTTTACTATTCATGTCTTAAAGAAAAAAAAAACGGAGATTAAATATAACAAAGTTGAAAGGTTTTCAGATTGGCTGTCATGTTAACAAAGCCAAAATCTCCCAAAAAGGCAACACTTCCACAATGACACCATGGGACACTCTAAAATAGATGTTTCTAATTTGTTGAATCACACTATGCAATTCAGGACAAAGGGAATTCACTGTGGAGGAAGTGTGTGTGAGCAGAGTAGGAGGAGCAGAAAGGAAGGATATAAAGTCAGAATCAAGCTTTGCTCCTGTGTGTGCCATCTGCAGGCAACTGGAAGTGATGAGCCATCTTGTGAACTGGGTGTTGCTAGCTGTCTGTCTGTATGGACTGAATGCAGGTGAGGTGAAATAAAAAAGGGGTGAGGATTGGAGGTGGAGAGTCCAGAGCAAGTGAGGGCTGAGAAAGGCTGGAGAGCAACTGTCTATGATAGCTTTTCAATCTAGCAAATTAAGAGCAAAGAGCCATGGATTTGACTGTTGTTCTTCCCTTCCTTGTTGAGTGAGCACATAGCAGGTGGCTCTACCTGTAATGGAACATTGGTCTCAATACTCATAAGGCAACAAAATTTTTCCTGAAAGAGGGGAACTCTAATGGATTGATTTAGAAACTTCTGCAATGTCTGTTGGTAGCAAAGCAAGGTTTAAAATAAATAGTGTTTGGGCTCAGCTATTCTTTGCATTAGAGTAATTTATTAATGCATTCTTAGGTGGCTGTTTACTGGCAGTCTCTGTAAGTTTCAAACACACATGACATTCTCAAGTGCTCTTACATTGTCTTGTTATGTCACAGTGTGAGTAAGTTCTCCAAGGTGATTATTCTGTTCACATCCAGTCTGGTTCCCTATATTCTTTTGACTAGTTTTGTGATTAGCATGCAAAATAATGGTTTTCATTTACTAGTTTCTCTAATGTAAATTGTATACTATAACATAAATTATGGAGGATCCAAATACAATGTATATTTTATTATATAAGTATTATGAACTATAAAATTTGTTATATAATATGAAAAAATGTCTATTCACTTTCTACATAAGCTCAGAAAATTATCATTTTCCCTGTATACTTACTATGGAGTTTTCATGCATCCTTTGTTTTTATCAATCCTCTTCTATCACTAGCCTCCTGTGTCCCTATTCCTCCCCTCAACAGACTCCTTTTTTATTTCATGCCATAAATAATCTGGGTGATATTAATTATATTTGTAATCTTGACAGGATCTACAGTTACACAGAAGACAAGCCAATGGACTGATCTGCAATGAATTATCTAAATTGCATTAGTCTCTGGGCCCACTTGTGAGAAATTATCTTGATTAGATTAATTGCAATAGAAGGACACACCCTTAGAATAAATGGCACCAATTCCTTAGCTTGGGTTATGGACTGCATAAGATAGCTAAGCACAAATATTCATCTCACACTGTTTCACAATTAGGGAGCCAATGTGACCAATATCATGCATATGGGAATATATACATATACATTGACTTGGTGTGTGTTCCACATATGAGAGAAAATTCAGTATTTATTTTCATTGTATGGGCTTGCTTAATCTGTTGGCCTACAAGTGTAATAATTTCAGAACCACAACTGTTCCCAAAGGATATATACATGCTCTGTCAATGATATTTTTTCCAGCAGGTGTCTGGTGACTTTTGAGTTGGCACCAGCCTGGTTATGAATGGCTGAAAACAATTCCAATCCCAATTTATTTGAAAATCCTCCTTATTTTTGACTTCACTTTTTCCCCTTGGCCCACGTTCCTTGCATGTGGATAACATTCACTATGACACCAGTAGTACGACTGCAATGTTCTGCTAATCCCCAATAAATCTCATTGTATCTCAGAGATTATTTTCTCAGTTGAAAGCTGCTGAACAATAGGGATAAAACAATAAGTGAGTAGAATCTGAACTGTACTGATTATTGTAGACAACTCCAGTGTACTCTAGGGAAGACATTTGGAAAACTAAGATCTCACATCTGAGAAAACAGAATTTCCTGGATTTTCATAACTTGATGTGAATATTTCCCGGGTAAATATGCAACCCCAACTTAATGTGATATTGCAGAATGCTGATGCGTATTTTATAGTTATTCTGAGTATGCAGTTTAAGAGGTGTCTTACATTTTTCCCATTCCTTTTGTCCTTCAGAATTGATCTCTCATTTACATCCTCCAAAACAAGGTAAGACAACCAAATCTATTTGCCATATCTCAAACGTCAGCCTCCACACCTTAAAAAGTATTACGTGTGAGAATGTTCTTGAATTTTCTGTCATGTAGCTTTTTCTTGCATTATTTTTTCTAAAATAAGGGTCTCCTTTGGATCAACCAGATTTTGAAAATCCAGATAAGAGACCAACTCCTGGTCACTCAAGAAAACACTCTCTTTTTCATGGGAACTAAGATAAGACAATGTAGGTTTCTGCACTATATTTCTTCATTGACAAATAAGAACTATAAATTATAAATGTTAAAAATAATATTTGAATATAGATACACACCATGGATAGTTAAACTGGTAATTAATATAACTACCTAATTAAAACATGAATTTTTAATGAATGTAAGCCCCCTGAAGCTATTTCTTATTCTAAGAACAAGAGGATGTAAGTAGGTAATCGGTGAGGTTGGGTTAGTGGTGAAGAGTGAGCCCTTCAACATGGAGCAATACATTGGATGCAGAAACAGGTGTGCTATTGCTGCAGACAGGACAAATCCTAAGTGATGAAAATGATTGTGGAGGTCAGTGGAAAACTTAGAGATATGTTTTGGATATCTTGGTAAATGTAGATGTTGGTAAGTCAAGGGAACAGATTATGAGAAACATTCCATAGTATGAGTTCTGAAAATGAAGTCTCTCACTGCTAATGAGAGAAAAATGAGGAAATCCCTGACTTCTTTGGAGATTTGCTGATATTTTCTGTCACAAGTAGAAAAGGCAGCAAGTGACTTCAGCTGCATGTGGATGGCAGTGAGATCTTGAAGAAATGTTGCAGAGATCACTTTGGCAAAACAAGAAATTTATTTTTTTCCAGAAAAGAAGAAAACAGATATGCCCTAGCTACTGTCTGCTGCTGTGATATTATGGGGTACTCTTGGATCCAATACAACTCAGACACCAAGTCAATGCAGAAAAGAAAAGTTTATTGTAATCAAGCCACTACTGACTCATTGTGGGAGCTAAACAGACTTGAGAGATGGACTGCAAACCTGAGCCAGAATGCAATAGATGTTTTAAGCACAAAAATCACAAAAGGCTATAATCATCTCTGCCAAGTTACAGTTACATTTGCCACCAATCAAGATTCAAGGATAGAGGACTGTCCTAGGAACATTACTTTGTGGTATTCTTATACAGTTCTCATTGATTGATTTGCTCAATTGTGGTGGGGTGACTTGCCCAGAATTCATGTCTCAACTCAACTTGCCAACCAGAATTTTCCTCATTCAGGGAGATCTTGGGAACTTAAACTTTGTTTTATCCCTATTCAAAATGCAAGTTTTATTCAAAATGGTTCCTTCTTAAATTCCCCCTTACCCTTGTACATTATCCAGATCCTTGATTAACTGTTTCAGGGATTGTATTCTGTTCTTAGGACCATGAGCATAACTGAGCTAACTCTTGGCTGAATAACTTTAACTAAATTATTAAGAATGCTGGGCCCTATGTGTAATAAGAGGAAAAGGAGGACTATTGATCTTGTGAAGGCAGTGAGCAAGATGGTTAACCAAGGGGACCAATCAAAGAGATTCTGGAACCAGTTACTAGCCTGTCTCCTTTGATTTTTCCTACCCAAAAGACTTTGTTTTGTTTGTTAAAGTGTCTCAAACTACCGCATAATTATTGGCATAAAAAACAAGTTTCCCCCAATGTCATACAGAGACGTCTGTTCTTAAGAAACAATAGATATAATCCTCTGCTGGTTTGTGCTGCTATTTTTTCCAGGGAGTCTATTTGTTTCTCTAACTGTATAGAGAAATGGAGGTGGTTTAGGTCTTTGTCTACTTGCTGGCTCAGGAGTTGGCATTGTCTTTTTCCAACCACAAGTGATGCTGTTTCTAGCTCTGTTGAGCCAGCAATACCAGCTCTTACAAGCAAAGATATTAGAAATGGGATGTGCAAATCAGGACCAAGTGGTTCTGGTGAGGCCTATATGATCCTGACCCATGAAGTATAGAACCTGAGGGGTGGTGTGAAAAAGAAAACAAATTTCTGATTTTCCTGAAAATTTGGTTAGAGCTGTGCAGGGAATAATGCCAAATATGAAAGCAAACCAGATGGTTTATGAGAAGGCTAGTCTTCTTAAGTTTTCATCTTTTTCCATGGATGGGCTATGTATAGTTTCATTGCAATATGGCTTATAAGGAGATTTGTTCAAAGAAAAAAACTGTTGACCTTAAGCAAATTTCTATAGACATATGAGTGGACCAAAGACATTTATCATCTTCCTGCCCCAGTGTCATCATGAGGAGATCTGTGTCTTGCCTGGGTGGCTATAGTTGGCCAGAGAGTGGCTAAAACTATTGAAATTAGGGCTGATTGGATTGATGGCTGCCTAAAAGACTCTTTTTAGATAATGGACTCAATCTCTGGGTCTCTTCCTCTCCAATCTATCTTTAGTCCTCAGGTTTTTCCTGTGGTCTATTGATAAGGAGGATAAGCATCTTAGGGTTTTTTTTTAATTTTTTTATTAATTACACTTTATTCATTTTGTATCCCCCCATAAGCCCCTCCCTCCTCCCCTCCCGATCCCACCCTCCCTCCCCTTTCTGCATGCATGCCACTCCCCAAGTCCACTGATAGGGGAGGTTCTCCTCTCCTTTCTGATCTTAGTCTATCAGTTCTCATCAAAATTGGCTGCATTGTCCTCTACCATGGCCTGGTAAGGCTGCTCCACCCTCAGGGGGAGGTGATCAAAGAGCAGGCCAATCAGATTATGTCAGAGG